GAAGGGCTACTAAACTGGTTCATGGATTGCAGGATAAAACTTACTAGGAAAGGTTAAAGGATCTTAACATGTATAGCTTGGAGGAAAGACGAGACAGGGGGGATATGATAGAAACATTTAAATATATAAAGGGAATCAACACAGTAAAGGAGGAGACTATATTTAAAAGAAGAAAAACTACCACAACAAGAGGACATAGTCTTAAATTAGAGGGACAAAGGTTTAAAAATAATATCAGGAAGTATTACTTTACTGAGAGGGTAGTGGATGCATGGAATAGCCTTCCAGATGAAGTGGTAGAGGTTAACACAGTAAAGGAGTTTAAGAATGCGTGGGATAGGAATAGGGCCACCCTAACTGTAAGATAAGGCTAATTAAAGTATTTTGAAATATTGGGCAGACTATATGGGCCAAATGGTTCTTATCTGCTGTCACATTCTATGTTTCTATGTTTAAGATCTTCATGGCCATGAAGGTAGTCTTTGCAAGGCTGTGGAGAAAAAAACAAGAAATCCATCTGACAATAGTATTGAATCAAATAAATTTTCATTGTAAGATTGGTCATTTTTGGGCTTTTCGGAGATTTGGTTTATATATTAAAATATGGGAACCTTGGTTCTTATCCTGATAAGATTAGATTTTAATTCTCTACTTCTCAAGGATCGTAACATAATGGAAGGGTTGAGGATGCACAACCGGCTGCACAGACTTGTCTTTTGTCAATGTTTTGTATATCTATTGGGGACATAGAACAAGATTATGATACAGATTATTAGATAGATTTACAAGTATTATATGCTCCTAATAGATGCAATATGTCTGTAGCAAATCCACCACTAAATGTGTACTAACCAGATTACTTTATGATGTGTGTGCTGTCCTGATCTCCCTTTCATGTATTTTTCATATCCCGACCCTGTATTTCACATTGCATTTGTCAAACTACCTGCTCCCGTTCACACAAGATTTCCCGAACGCGGACCACCCCATGATCCCTATTTAGAATGTTCATGTAGAATGTTCACACCTCACTCACGAGGTGTGAAAACTGCAAACCGCAGGAAAAGCCTCGGCGTGTTCTGACCCTAGGCGTCCCGTTCGTTAGATGAACGCCATCCAGGGGGAGCAATCCCGGATTGCTTCTTGCCTTGTTCAGTTCCCAAACGAGGATCTCCCCAGTGCCCCTTGGAATGTTTGCACCAATCAATTAGAACGTTGGCCACTTGCAACATAGGTGCGAAACCGCAATAACATTACACAACAAATGTAAAACCGCAAGGGAAGTAATTAATGAGTGCTTCCCCTGAATGGCCGCCGTTCATATAGATGAACGCCGACCAGGGGGAGCATTCGTATCCCGAAAGGAGACACTCCCCTAGCCTTGTTTCACACATGGACTTCACGAACGGAGGAGGTACACACTGGACACCGTTGTGGAGGTCCCTGAGACTGGTGGGGACATGTCTTGGGGGACATTGGCGGTTTGGTGGGCTTTCTGTCAATTTATAGATGTATGGACAATTTTGTACGTGATTAAATAATAACAATATTTTTGGGAAAAAAACAAGTCTTAGGACTTTTTAAATCAAGTTTTCACTGCTTTATTAACTCCAAAAGCGACACACATTGTACTAAGAAATGTTTTGTCTCAGTAACTGAACCTTTCTGAAGGTTTTTTTCAACTTTTCTAAACCTATTTGCAAAATAAACCTATTTTGCGATTTAGTTTCCCAGTGGAAAACAGTGAATTATACACTGGCGTGTTGCACCTAATGAAGATATGCCATCACTGCATTTGTTTTATGATGTTCTTTTCTTACATATATATAATAGTAATAATAATTTTCGTTATCAAGTATTTTATCAGGAAAAGTATCTTTACAATTCACTCTTACGTTAAAGTATATCAAATGTTCCATGTCATTGGTTTCTAGTTTCCATTTACTCTAAAGTGTTTGGTTTTTACAATGTGATAATTTTTATGAAAATCATGGTCACGTGGTGATTGGTTTTCTTATAAAGCAGTGTGAGTTTTTATCCATGACGTACAACGATCCAGATTATCAGGTTTGCAAAGCTCTGTAAAGCAGCTCCATGGCTACCAACATGAGGTAAATATTAATTATTAATATAATTTTTTTTACATCCTTTTTCATATTTTGTTTGATTTGTATTCTGTAATCTAACTTTTCTAACAAACCAGCAATTTTAATTATTAAACGAAAACTCTAACACTAGAAATACAAACCTGTATTTCTAATTTTAGAGTACATTTCTGCAGTGTAGGAAAAGTTGCACTGGGGTCGTACACTAAAGGGGCCAATCGGGTGGCCCAGGCACTTAGAGCCACCTTATGGCTATTGCTGAAAAGGCCCTTGAAGAGCATCATCTGGCCTCACCCCTTACACATCAGCAATTGGTGAAGCAAGGAGAAATTTAGTTCAGATCACTTCTTTCCAACTACAAGATGAGCCGCACAGGAGGGAGATGAGACACAGCAGGAGCGGAGGAGGCAGAACAAAAGTAAGGAGAGACCTAGCTTCAGGCCCACACTCACATCAGACTCAGGTAGCAAAAGGTGTGGTAAAAATAGGGAGACTTAAAATGCTGACATATATATGTGTATGTATTTATGTGTCAACGAGTGTATCGGTGTGTGCACATGTCAGTGCGTGTATCTGTGTGTCACTGTGTGTGCATGTGTCAGTGTGTGTGCATGCGTCAAGGTGTATGCATATGTCAGGGTGTTTGTATGTGTCAGTATGTTTGTATGTGTCAGTATGTTTGTGTCATGGTATGTGTCTGTGTGGATGTGTCAGTGTTTTTATATGTGTATATCTGTGTGTATGTAAATGTGTGTGTTTTTCTGTGTAAGCATGTATGTGGCAGTGTGTGTATGTATGTATATGCATATATCCCAACATTTAAACACCACAGAACATGCAAACACACCCATGCAAATGCAAACATTATATATAAACACACCTGTAAAAAACGCCCAAATTATATACAACCACAACCTTCTGTCCCATACCAACACTACACACAAATGTACACCTACATACAAACACACGCCTGCATTCAAACGTAAATAATACACACAAGCACACCATCACATTTCAATGGCAACAGAACATACAAATACACCTTTACATGCACATATGTACTCTATACAAAAACATGCTTACATTCAAACACTGCTCACAAATAAAACCCTGCAAGGATGGACAAATGGTAGATTTCTAGCTGGCATAGCATTGTGGGTGTTGCACGCGCGGAGGGGGGGGGGGTGGGCAAAGGCAATTATTGCACCACATTAGTACATATCTACATTAGTTCTACCACTGAATTCCTGGTGTAGATGTTTGGGATGCACTTTTTTACACTTTAATTAGTAGTTTTTACTAACCTTTAGTCTCTTACCATGCCTCTTACCATCCCCTGACTGAGATCATCACTGCAAATGAACTCAGTAAATCCATAGTAAAGAATTGGAGGGAATGTGTTGCAATCGCCCTGCTGTATCAATCAGTATCTCCTTATAGAGATAGGTTAGCTCAATGCATCTCTCTGGGGCACATTCAGAATTGTTATTCAGAGAATGGCATCAGTCACACATCAAACATTGGTTCTGCAAAGACTGAAGGACAGCAATAGAAGTCGCAGCCACAAGAGGTATTTTTGCAGTTCAATGTTCACACTACCTTTACTAAGATAAGGCATTGTTTATATTAGAGAGACTGCAAGGACAGTACCTTTCCACTAGAACCACTGAATCAAGCTGTAATGGTTCTGGTGCTTAGTGTCCCTTTTATGCAGGTGTAATGAGAGACGATTTTATTACTGAATTAACTGTGTCATTGATTGGGGCAATAGCTGGATTTTGGGAGTCTCCATCTTAATATAAGGGTTGCCTACTTACAATATCATGCTAATGACCATTTTTTTCTAACTATACATTACAGTTTAAAGGGTGACTCCAACCACCATGACCACTTCTGCTTTTTGTAGCGGTCATGGCGGTAGTAGTCTGGATGTGCAATGTTTCTACTTGAAACACTGCACACACAGATTTATTGGCACTTCTGTGCCGGGGGCAAGTGACTTAAGCAGCCCAGAATTCTGTTCCGTGCTGCCTAATGTCAATTCTGTGTATAAAATACATCTGTTGTCAGTGCGCACTGCATTTTGCTGATAGACATAACACAAGCCTTTAATTGAACCTCGGCGCTGCTCCCATAACACCAGACAGGGGTCTGATATGCCAAGCAGCATTGGGAGCTTTGCATGGTGCTGGATTGAGGTGAGTTAAAAACGCTCTTTGATATTTTTGGTTGGGGGGACCAGTAGAATAATGCCAATAGGGTTAGAAAAAAAAGGGTTGGAGAAACATTTTTATTCTCAAGATCCACTGAAATGTAGCTTTACATTAAATACTTCCCTAATGTAATAACAATGGCAATAATGTGTTTAGTGCTGGTACTTCCTCAGGGAAACTACTTAGTGTTCCAGGTATTAAATCAAATAATGCTAAATAATTATTATTTTCAAAATAAGGTTGGATCAGAAACAGACACAAAAGCACATATGCATATGGCATTGTAACCCTTTATGAAGAACTGAAAGAATATTAATTATTCTGTTTCAGTAAGAAATCTAACAGTTAACCAATTACAGCATTACATTTGACTTGCTGTTGGTCTGTCTGAAAACAAGTCCTTGGCATTCTTTCATAATTGTGCCAATAAACAAGTAGTTGTGTAGACGTTAAATTCCAAAGTTGCGGGCATACTATCTCAGGTTAGAAACTAAGGATCACAGATTAAGGCATTGGGAATGGGAATGGGGAAGGTAATTTAAAAATAGAATAGTATATTTTACATATTATGAAGTACATATTATGAAGTAAGTAAACATTTTTGATTAATGATTGTTTTAGTGATCGTTCAAATGACTCCCTGGTAAAACATCTGGAGAAGCTAGAATGTCATTTTACGTGGATGCTGAAGAAAGAAGATTGTGATATTGATGATGTAGTAGAACGGCTTCATGATCCAGTCACTTGCGATCCACCTATCTATAAACATAGACATTACAATCTGTTGGCGTATATGAAATATCTTACCGGGGAATTCGGTGAAGTAGTTTCTCACCTGCTAAAAGCAGAAGAACATGTGAATGAAAGTCTGTTTGATAATAAGGATGCCAAAAAGACAGTGATCTATGCTAATTTTGCGTGGTTTTACCTCCATACAAATCAACTTGAAGATGCTCACACTTATGCAGAAAAAGTAGAAGAGATTTCTAACAAATATCAGTCCTCTGAAAACCAAAGTATCCTATTTGTTGAGATATACGGTGAACGAGCCTGGTCTCTATTTAGTTTCTGTGGGAAATACTGTGAAAAGGCTGTAGAATACTTTAAAAAAGCACTTACATTTGGCCCAGAAGACCCTGATTTAAACTGTGGCCATGCCATGGCAGAATGGCGTTTATTAAGTTACAAACGACAGTCACCCCAAACTGAAGACCATACAATTCTAAAACTATTGGAATGAGCGGTGAAATTAAACCCAAAAATTGTTAGGCTCAAAGTTACTCTTGGTTTGGCATATCAAGCAATGAAAGAATCTGAAAAAGGATATAAATCCATTGAGGAAGCTCTGGAACAAGAACCAGATGTTAAGTTTGTACGCACTGACATTGCCAGATTTTATAGGAGAGAGGGAAGAGTTGATGACGCTATTGAGCAAATGAAAAAAGCTATTGAACTAAAACCAAAGTCTTGTAATGCTCACTACCAGATAGGCCTTTGCTACCGAAATAAGGCAAATCCACTATTTAATCAAAGAAATACACAGAACGAGGAGATTATCCAGAAAGCTCTAGATCATTTTGAACAGGCAACTGAATTGAAGAAATCATTTGTGGTTGCATATATTCACGTAGCAGAGATGTATGTCTGGTGCAAACAATTTGAAAAAGCCAAAGAAGTCTTCCATGAAGTGTTAAACATGAAAAATCTCACAGAGGAAGACAAACAGGAAATTCATTTCACGTATGGACTTTGTGAGGAACAATACATGAAAAATCAGGATGAAGCCATTAGGCATTACAAAGAGGTAACAAAAATTCAAAAACAAACATACATAAGAGAGAAAGCCTTGAAAAAAATAGAATACCTGGAAAAGAGAAGATGTCAAGAATACTGAAAAAATTTCCATCTGGTTCTGTTTATGGCTTGTTTGGTTTACTAATGTTTATTTCTCATAATAACAATTTCTCTGAATATCTCCAAAATATAAACCTGCTTTCAGCTTGTTTTCATCTTAGATCCTGTTATACAATCCTACATTACATTACTCTATGCCTGCCTTTTCTTCCAACAATTACCAAGATTTTTGCAAAAAATATAAAACATAAAGTGTCATCCAAAGATAAGTAATCAAATTATTTTCCAATGGTTCGACATCTACCTTAGGTCCAGCCTCCTCTTCTAGTACAGCCGGCAATCTCAGTCAATGAATTCCATCCAAATAGGGATGAATTTGAGGAATCTTCTGAAGGGAAAGGGGAACTTCTGCTTTAGATACATTAGAAACATGTACCATGTTGCCTTCTTACTAAACACGTTTGATAGATGAAAATATTTAATACTGTATGTAAACATAAATTTACTTTTAGACATAACTTTAAATATAATTGATAAAAAGGATTGTTATTCCACCTTAATCTTTGTCTAAATAAATAGGTTTGGTATTAATTTGAAAAATCTTAAATGATTGCTTGCCTTGGTCCTTGAAAAGTGGCAAATTAATATAATATTGCTTCAGCATTTGAGATTTGGGGGGTCAATTCTTTCATTATGTGTAATGTTTTAGTTGGGATGTATAAATAGAAATGAAAATCTTTCATAATAAAGCATAACTTGTGAATCAAATGTTCACCGTTACATGTTTTTGTACTTATTTATGTATATGTATATGCATTTTTTTTATCCCTCTGAGTGTATGCTTTTGTGCTTTTTGTGCCTTTCTAAGATGGATGAATGGAAACAGTTTGCACATAAATAGACCATATTCTAATCACAGAAAATAATTCTTAAAGTGTTTAATAAGGTAATATAAAAAAAAAAAAAAAGCACTGAAAAAAATCCCAGCACTCAAACTCCCACTATTATTGGCCATCAGCAATGACTAAACCAAATGACCAAATAATTAAACAATACAAAAAAAATGTTACCTGCGCACTATCCCAAATCTCTATTCACATTTAAATAACAGGTTTCTAGTATTACTCCAATGCCATTAAAAAAGCGCTATAGCATGGGGGCGTAGCTGGACGCAGAGAAAGATGGCTGCTTGAGTTCTTAGCTCTGCACCACGAGCTAGGCAAACTGAATAATTGTGAGATCCCTTCGGGAGATAATGTGAAATTTATACGACGTTGCAGTCCAAATCCCGTCGGCAACAAGATAAGCCCAGAAAAAGGTTGCAGCCCTGGCGAGACAATCCGCGCCCGCGAACCTCCAAGATGGCGCCGAACACTCCGGAGGTAGCAGTTCGAGATCAGAGGTGGACCTACCGCAAGAAGGTGAACTACTTACCACCACTTTCCTGAAACGAGCTGTGAAAATTATAGGATAAAATCTGTCCAAATATATCAGAATTACACTAACTTAACCTGGTGTAGGAAGGGTCTGCCTGCAGCTGTAGGTAGACTTACTATGCAGTGCTCTAAAGCGTCAATATTTGTATTGCATTATCTCTATGATGCTTTAAAGTAAAGCTCCATGTACCATAACCCACCACCACTTGATTGTAAGTAATGCAACTATTTTTGACATCTTTCCCTGGGTCCGCCGCTTCGTACTCTTTGCCTAACACTGCCTTTTGCTTTAGCTAAGCCCTGTCGTGTTGGCTGATAGCTCTCATCCAATGAGATAAGACCTGCACCACCCAGCTAGCTCAGACAGAGAGCGTCTAGCTCTCTGTTGCAAATAGTGGAGGCAGGGAGCAGCACCTGGCAGACATAGTGGCTATGGTGCTTCAGGTTTTCCTTTAAAAATTTCTATTGGGTCAAAATATATCTAGACAATCTCTTCAAAGTTACTTTAGTTGAGTGCTAAATTGTAATGTGTCTTTTTTTTGTTGATAGTCTTCTTTTAAAAGAAACCTTGAAGACTCGTTTGTTGAAGCTACGTTGCCAGTTTAAATGATTGTTAAGGAAAGAAAGAGGATTGTGAAATTGACTATACATCTGAGCGTCTTCATGATCAAATTATGTATTTATTATAAAACCGACTTTATAATTTGTTATTTTATATAAAATATCTGAATGGAGATTATTGGGAAGCAGTTTCACAACTTCAACAAGCTGAAAAATATGTAAATGCTGCTCAGTTTGATAAAAAATAAATGATTGGCTTTACTACCATACAAACCAGTTTCAAACTGCTCACACCAATGCTAAAAAAGTCAAAAATATTTGCAAGAAATTAAGCTCTTCTTCGAATCAGAATGTTCTCCTTGTTGAGATATATGGAGAAGAAGCCTGGACACTGCTCACATTCTGTGGAAAATACTGTAAAAATGCTGTAGAATGCTTGACTTTGGCCCAGAGGACCCTGAATTGAACTCTGGCTGTGCAATAGCAGAATGTCCTATGCAAGGTTTCAAAAGAATGTCACACTTTGATGAGAGCAATAACTTAAAAGCTCTACACCTACTAGAACAAGCTGTGAAACGGAAATCAAACTATTCTGTGGTCAAAGCTTTTCTTGGTTTGAAATATCAAGACTTAAAACAATTTGAAAATGGCTTTAAAATTATATAGGAAGTCCATGAACAAGAACCGGATTTTGAAATATTATGAAAAATTAAAAGGGAAAGGAGATAGGGGTTAAATAGCTTTCTAGCTTGCACACAGTCCTAGCCAGTGAGTGGGAACGGACACCCACATCCTACCCCCTGTCCTAGGAAAGGTTACCTAGACTGGGTTGGTAGGCGGTAACCCGTAAATATTAAAATTTGAAATCAGAAAAAAATTCAAATAGCCCCTGAAGTATAAGGTGGCTAATTGGAGAAAATCCAGTCAAAAACACTAGTAGCCAAACATAAGATATTTATTAATATCAACAAATAGCTACTAGGGGACTCACTTATACTAAAATGAAAGTGCATCTGTGAACTGGATAAACAATGACCTTAATATTGGGGGAGGTAGGTAATATAGGAGGTAGGGGTAGGATATATCAGCTCATACCAAAATAATGGGTGAGGATAAAATCCTAAGAGTACACAAGGGAAATAAACCCTGTCTAGGAGTAAGTTTCCAAATAATATGCTGAGGTCCTATAATAGGACACTATCTACCCCTTAATAGCAATACCTCTAGAGGGTCAGGGACATGGGGCACTGATGCTACCCACAGTAACAAGATTCCCAGCTAATGGGAGTAAACAGTAAGACTTGTATAGATCAGCACACACACTTGTCCCTATTTACCTTGGCACCGCACAAAGCTAGTGCCTACCTGCATCAAGAGTCCCTTAACCATGCGCGGGTCTGGGAAATCTTGCGTAACCGCATGCTTCCTTGCATCACTCCAGACCACGTCAAGACCTCAGGGTTCCAGACTACAAATAGACACCGCAGGGTGAGGGCATAGTTTCCGCCGACAGCAGGACAGCGGTTCAGGGAACCAGTGTCCAGACGTGGTCGGACCTAAGGTAAAGGTCTATTGGAGTGTGAGGGGGCCAGGGACTGGTGGTGGATCCTGATCAGTGAAACTGGACTTCAGTACTATAGATGTTTAAAATATGTATTTCTTAAAGGAACACTATAGGGTCAGGAACACAAACATGTATTGCTGACCCTATAATGCTAAATCCACCATTTAGGTCACTTGCCCCCCCAACATTCCCCCTTCTTAAAAGGAATTAAAATGCACCTTGTTTCCCGCCCCCTTGGTGACATCAGAATTGCCCATTTTTAGTCAATCAAATTCTTTCCCATGGGGAAAGCATTGAATTGGCTAAAATTAGCAAGGGGGCGGGGCCAAATACTGTTTTGAGCAATCAGCACCTCTGTATCTCTATGAGGAAAATCCAGTGTCCCCATGTAGAGCGTGGAGATGTTGAACGGGTGTGCTGCCTACTGTGCAGCACTGCCCCAGGAAGCATCTCCAGTGGCCATCTGAGGAATGGCCACTTGGAGGTAATCCTAGGGGCAATGTAAACACTGCCTTTTCTCTGAAAAGGCAGTGTTTGCATGAAAATGCCTGCATATAATGATTATACTCACCAGAACAACTACATTAAACTGTGTACCTTTAATTTTGGTGTCAAAAAAACAGGGGTCATCTTATTCATGGATGCATCCTATACACAGAAAAATAAGGTAAGTTATCCTGTTTTTCAAAGTTTTTCTCATTATTCCGCCCTCCCCACACTCTGTTCCATCTACAATTGAAAAACACAAACCTCAAAGATAGAATTGAATGATGAGTGCCTACTTTAACACCCGTAGTCCAGGCACTTCATCAGCTGGACCTGCAGTGACAAATACAGGATCCTTTCAGTGCCAAATGCTCTAGGTACACCCCTGAGTACACAACTGTTTCCTCTCTTTCTCTGATGATTGGCCAAACTTCTTTGATTCTGGCCAATGACAAATTATAGAGACTGAAGTCTGCCACGTATCTCCTAAACATTCGTTATACTGCAAAAATAGGATGTTTCATGTGCTGTTTTAAATGTTTGCAATCTTTTTATTTATTAAATGGTATTAGGTATTTTCTAGAACAAGTTTTACTTGTTAAAGATGAATTAAAATTTTTGTTTAATAACATTTGCCTTATTATATTATATTTATGATATTTGTCAGGAAACTAAGAGGAATGAACACCTTAAGTAAGTCCCACGAATAAAGGCACAGATGCCTCCATAACACAGTCAACATGTTCTGCTCCATTGATTAACACATTTGGTTTGCAAGCAACACATCTCCAAAATCCACTAGCATTTTCCATAGTGAGGTAAACTTGTCAGGTAAGAATTTTGGCATTAGAACCACAAGTGTATCCCAAATATAAAGACATGTATGATCCAGAATGCAATCAACCTGCTATACGCCATTAAATAAAGTTAGTTAATAGCAAAAAATCCACAATATGATTCCGGTATCACAGAATTAATCAGACACAAAACTGT